TTGATATGTACTTTGTAGGTGCATAATACCATAATTAAATGCCCTTTCATATTTAAAACTGATCTCCTTTACCCAGTTCCTTGTGTGCTGATGATTTCAGAGGACTCCTTCAGCAACCGGGCTAAATATTTTGTGGGCAGATCTTTATTACATGACTTTCAAGTGCTTGAGTTTGCAGCAGATGCCATGCTTTCAGAGTAGCATTGAGTATGTAAGTTAAGTTAAGGAGGCTTTTGCATGTAAGAACTTTCTAAATGAAAATCCATTATGGCCTTTGCTTTGCCAATTAAATATAAGTTCTGGCTTTTCCTGCTTTGGCAAAACCTTTTGTCACAATGCTTTTAATGTTGGGTTTTGGGTTTTGGTTTTTTTTATATTGGTAGTTTAAAGGAGGAGGACTAATTCTACTGTATGCTCTGAAGGTAGCCTCAACTGAATTGAAATATTTTTCCTATCTCTGTCTTCAAACCCCTTGAAAGCCTTTTACAATATTTTTCAAGCTGTTCAGCTTAGCAGTTTTTCTACTTATCAACCATATGGCCTCACAGTTTCTGTACTAGATTAATCTAACTTTGTCTTCTTTATGCTGCTGGTCTCCAGATTTCTCCTTACTTGCCATTTGTGTGGGTTTTTGAAACGTTGCATGGCAAGACGTGAAATGGCTGTCTTTAATTGGCAGATGGGGGGCAGCATGCATCAGTATTGTGAAGCCTGAAGTTGTGTATGTGGGTATGAAGAACACGAGCCCGAAATACATGCTGGGCTCTGGGAATGTGATTCCAGTCCTGGTTCAGTCTCCTGAATGTGAGCTGCTGTAGCAGCCTTGAGGCAAAAACAAACAAACAAGTAACCTCAGTGGTTCAGTAGGGAAATGCTGAGTGTGCATCAGAAGACTTTTTTGATAACTGGCACACTGATAAAACTGCATGTGGAATGATCATGTCCCGTGAGGTTGTCAACAAATTTGAAAAGTAGACTAATGAGAGGTTTCAGAAGGAGCCAAGTGAATTGTTGAAGAATTAGCAAATAATTTTAGTGCTAGAAGACTTAGAATTTAAAGTATCATGTCAGTGAGAAATTTAAAAGTTGATTTTAACACTGAAAAGCTTCTGTGGGATATGAGAAATGGAAATTGAAGAAGGAACTCTATAGGCAGCAGATGGAGATGAGCACAAACCAATGTCCAGATGAAGCCAGATACTTGTGCTGCAAATGAAATGCAAGTTTCTTCTGACTGTAAGGGTTCTTGATCATGGGAACAGTTTATCTGTGGTCTGCTGGATTGGCTGTTGCTGGCCACTGTGAAACCATGATGGTAGATTTTTCTAGAAGAGGTATTTTAGCTCAGACAGGAGTTATCTTGAGAGACTCAAATTGTGCTTAAGCAGGAGGACTGATTCCGCAGTCATACCATGCAGTCTCATCCTCAAACCTGTGAAATTATTTTTTCAAATCCCTGAACTGTTGCATGGTTAGATTAAGCCTTTCTTTGCTATAGTTTACTCCTGTATAGATTTTGTTGATGAAATGTAACTGAATGTGTTTATCCCTGTCAGAAATGTTGCTGTGGTGATCAAAGGGAAGCTGCAGGAGCTTGGCACCTTCTGGTCCAGTGTCTGTTGTGCCTGCAAAGAGCAAACTGAGAGTAGATTCAGTGGTAACCCACTGAGGGGCCCAGAACATTTTGGAAGGTTCTAAGTCACGAACTTCAAAGAAGAAAAAGTTTATCTCTTACTTCAGAGCAAGGTGTTGGGACCTCTGTTTCCAAGGGAGCAGAAGTCACATACTGTGAGACAGAGCAGTGGAGGGGGCAGGTGGCTTTGACTGGTCCAAGTCTGCATGTTCCACAGAAACCCTTTTTGGGGCATTGGGGGTAAATGCTTGGCATCCAGGACTTTGATTGTCACCTCTGTGTGCAAATGAAGCAGTCTCCTCGAGAGCCTACAGTATTGTGGGGTCATTAACAGTAGCTTCCTGGGCTTAAAATGGGAAGCTTTCAGAAAAAAACATTTTTCTTACCTGCTATCTGTGCCTTTCACCTGGAATCATAGTTACCTTTGTGGCCATCTTGTGAAATGAGAGGGAGCAGCTGTGCTTAGTAAATCCTCAGTCTTTCTTCAGTTATTACAGATAGATAGTAACTTGTAAAATATAAGTGCTTAGAATTTTTATCTTCCCAAGTGCATTGATTTCTATTTCTGCTCCCCCCTCCCCCCGGAAAACTGTTGGCCTCTCTTCCGTTGTTTTAATTCTTACATGATCCTTCCCAATTTTCTAACAGGAATTCACTCAAGATCCTCGATGACTTTGTAGGTAGATGTTTCCCCACTCTGTGACTTGTCTCTTATCTTTGCTTTCTGATCCATTTTTTATCTTACCCTACAGTTCTTAGATTTTTTTTGTGTGCATAGGATACTGTTGAAGTACTTCTTGGAACTCTTCAGTTGCCATCTGACTTTTGATTATGCACTGCCTCTATGCTTCTATTGGAAATTTTGAAATCCCTTAAGAGGTCGTCCTACTTTTCTTTTCTCCTTGTTAGATTTTCTTCATATTATTTTCTGAGCATCTTATTCTGTTCTCTCAGTGGGGTCAAACATGTCAAGCAGAGATGCCACATTTTCAAGTCTAGCATTTTCTGGATTGCCCTTCTTTGCTTCTAGATAATTCACTTCTACTTCAAACTTTTAAAAATGTGTTCTTAATGTTCTTTGTCTTTTACAGGCTGTTGTTAGCTTAATTATCTTATTCTTGACCCTTGAAACTCCCACATGTGGAGCATGAGTCTGATAATTGTTGTTTTAGTCTAGACCCTCTAGTTCTCTCATTGATCTTATCTTTGTGTCCAGGTAGTCTTGAGAAGTTCCACCTCCAACATGTAATGACTAGGAGGTTGTGTATTGTCCCAGAAATGATTGTCTTAGTTATTTCGGTAGATCATTCTTGCTAGTATACTTTTTGGTTGTACTGGCTGGTGGTTTGGTTTTTTTTAGCATGCTTCAGGTTTAGACTGCGTTTGGGGTTTGCGTTTTCATCTGGAAGCTCCTGTCGTAACTTGTTTCCTTTGTATTTATTCTGCTGCTATTATATTTCCAAACCGGTAAGGCTGTCCAGCTGTTCTGCCTCCTCTTGGCCATTATGGCTTGTTCTTTGTCTTTTAGTTTTCGCTCCACAGAGGTTTGCCAAGACTGTTTTCTTAGTAGCATCTGAGCTATGAATATGCATTTTTGGTTTGTATCATTTGAGAATCAGGGCCACGTTAAAAGAGATACAAGAACAAGCTAAAGCTTGAGGGCACCATCCTCTGATGTTGGTGTCCTGCACCTCTTTGCATTCAGTGTTGCGTGTTTATTCGGGCAAGGATGGAGAGAATAGACAATTTCCTAGTTAGCTCTTGCTATAGAGAAATTAGTTAGTATCAAAATAGTTTCTTTAAGCTTATTTATGTAGTACTATCTTGTGGGTTTTGCTTTCTTTATGGAGCCAAAGCTATTTATGACAGATCACTGTTGAATTTTAGTGCCTTGTTGGTCTTTTGTAACATTGTGTTCTGGTTCTTTTCTGGACCAGGAGAGTAGTAGTGTGGAATAGCCTGGGATTCACAACCAGATGGACTTGAGGCTTATGAACTGCTTCCATCCATTTCAATATCTCCATTCTCAAAATGCTGAGGATTACTATGTGCACCGCATGTACATAGCAGTGTGTCTTGCCTCCAAGCAACACAGTTGTATCAATTACGCTCAGTAACAAACTGTTTTGTGCACACCCTGCTTATCTTCTTACTAATTAATGTTCTGTTTGAGTGGGTGATCTGGGTTTCAAGTAGGGAAGGACTGACTTTGTCACTTTTAATGTGGGGCAAGTGTTTTGTGGTCTTAGGATTGGGATTTTTTTGCTTGCTTGTTTCAAGGTGATTTACTCATAAACTTAAAGCTTGCTTCCCTGTCACTCATGCCATCCGAATTGCCTACTTATTGCAGTCTGGGACCCAGATTTTGCTTTAAGCAAGAATTGTTACTCCTGCTTCTGATACTTCTGTCTGAGGTTTCTGTTCCGGACAAGTGTTTGGAAGTGTGATCACACAGATCAAAACAATAAATTCTGTGTGTGGGAACTAACTGTGATTGTGGCAAGTCCTTGGAGTTTTGCGGGAGGTGGGGCTGGGGATGAAAAAAGTAGTAGCACTGTTTCTACTTCTTTTTCCTTTCTCCCAGATCAAGCACTGCAACTAGCAGAAACTTTACTACCTCTTCAAAATCATCAGCAAGTTCTTATTCCTCAGTGTCTGCCACTTCTGTCATTACTAACGGTGATAGCAGTAACTCCTATGGACTGAACAGCTCCCACCTGGGAGGAATGTTCTTTTTGTTTCTTAGTCCTTCATGTGAATGAATACTCCTGTGCATCCTTGCCTGTATAGAAAAGGAGTGTGATGGTGCCCTATGAGGAGTTCTGCTACTCTTGTGTACCTGTTTATCCAACTTAGCTTTTGAAACCACTATGTTCTGCTATTCCTTGCTCACTTGCAAAAGTAGCATATGTTCCAGAGCTTACTAACTGCTAGGGCATTGCCTGATTTTGAGGGGATTGGGGGTATGAGGGAAGGGATTATATTCTTTTCTCCATCTGCCAGTGTGGTAGAAGCCTTTCCAGGTAGAGATCATAATTTTCTTACTAGCTCTTACAGTATGTCATATAGACTCTCACAGACTCTTGCTGCATTAGGATAGCGTGCTGTGTACTTGTAGACAGAGGAAATTAATGTGTTATGAACCATAAACTAATAATAGACTGTGTAACAATTAATGTTTCCAAAGTTAGCACATATACTTCACATTCCTGGTATTCAATATTAGCCACTATGAAGCAGCAGAAACATGTAGGCTGGTTAAACAATTTCATTAAACAGTTTTTTGATTCGTATTTGATGTGACTCTCAAACAGGATTGAGAATCAGTAAACTCATTGTGGAGTTCACTGTGTTGTCTTTCTTCCAGAGGCTCTGGATTTGTCTGTAACTCTTACAACTGCAGGGACAGTGCTTCCCTGTCACAACCTGGACTCTGTGGACTCAGCAACCTTGGAAATACCTGCTTCATGAATTCTGCATTACAGGTAAGAATTGGAAAGAGCCCTATTTAGAATTAAATAAAAGAGCTGTCTCGCAGAGATTGTGGATTAAAATCTGTGGAAAAAAAACCATGTTTTAATGTGATTCAATGAGGAGACTGCACCTGGAATGAAAAAACAAACAAACAAAAAAACCCCAACCAAACCAAAGAAATCAGTTCATATTTAGTTTGGCTTACGCGTAGCACGTTAGTACTATGAAACATAGTACAGCATGAAGGACTGGATCTGAAATACAAGGCTTCTGAAAAGGCTGTGGGGGAAGTCGTACTAAACAGATGCCTAACTGTAACGTAAGGTCCTAATGCTGTGCTCTGGCAAAAATGGGCTGACATGGAGGACGTTTTAACTTGTGCGTGCAGCATAAGCGACGTGAGCAGGCCACTGCACACAGCTCTGGGGTCTGTGTTCAAAGACTCTGGAAAAATTAAGAGTGTGAAAAGCCATGGGAAGGGTTCGGGGTGATTGTGTGGGGTGGTAAGTTTGTAATGGTTATGCAAAGCTAATAATTATTAGCATACTTATTTAACAATCTCTTAGGTTTATTTGGTTCATTTAAAAAAATGCAGAAACTTGTTAGGGATAGTTGTTTTCTAAGGAATTCAAACAAAATATGAGCCAACTTATATCAACTTTGATTTAAGCAATGGGCAAACTTCTAGTGTGGCACAAGTGCTATGTAATGACTTCAATCTCTGTGGTAGCTTTGAAAGCTAGAACAGGTCTCAAAATAACTACAATGTATTATGCGTGTCGTATTCAGGATACCACAGTAAACTTGGACTGCCTCACTTTTTTGTTCGACAGGACTTTCTTTGCAGTTGTATCATGGTAACCTGAAACCACATTGTTTTCTTGAACTTTATAGCTAAGAGACAACGTTTTTAATTAATTGAATATCAAAGTAACTTAATCCAAACACATTTCAATCTTAATTTTGCATCCAAACTAGTCATGTTAAGGACCAATTGCTTGCTTTCTTGTATTTTGCATTAGTTGAGGGGATAAAAGACATCAGTCTTTCCTGATGGCAGGTGGATCTGAGGCAGATTTCTGCCTCAGTTTTTGGAAATTCTTGGAATTTTGTCAGCAACAGTCTCCCAATGAGAGATTGGTGTCAAATGATAGCAGTCTGTAAGCACTTTAATGTCATTTGCCTGGAGAAAGGCGCAAACACCTGGGCGTTGGAACTGGAAAAATCTGATAGGCAATAAATTCCACAAGATACGCATCAAGGCAGTGAAAGTGGGGTTGGCTAAAGGGCAGGACTACAGTTTCCTGACTCTCTCCAGATTGCCATGTATAACTCTGCTAGGAGATCTGTGTGCCTACACCTAGTTGGTGAAGCACTGTACAGGCATCTGCTACGGGTCCTGAAATTTCAGGCTTTCAGAAAAAGGCCAGTTTAATATGTTATTGATATTACAGTGCCTTGATGTCCTAGTAGTTTTGATCATAATCTCAGACTTGGCTCTCTTTTTGTTCACATATCCAAGTCTTGCCTTACTTATCTGAGTGTCACTTCTTGCTATAAGCTTTGAGTCTTTTATTGAATTAGGGAAACTACTTCCTGTGCTAGTTTTACTTGTGTCCTGAGGTTTACAGTGATTCCCCAGGATGTATTAAATCATTACCATGATACACTGATAATAAGTATATAAATAGGAGAGTAGATACGGAGTGGTATCCTTCCTGCCTTTAAACTTTGCTGACTTTTTGATGGGTTTTTTTTTAATGGCATGTGGTTCTTTGTAGGACAAACTATAGCTTGTGCTTCATCCACAAGGACCTTTCTTACTCTCACTATTGCTTATATTAGGATTTCAAGCTTAGAGAGTGGATATGGGACGTAGACTTGAGAACACTCAGGTGACATCTCTAAAGACCTTCCTGACCTGTTCTGTGCAGATTTCTATGTAATACGTCAGTAAGGTAGCCTACCCTACCACCTCAGTGACATGTGGAAAAACAGACCAATGTACATTAATTATAGGATTTGGTGAGTATTGGTAGGAGTGTGATTGTAAACTTTACTCTTCTGGCACTTGTGGACTTAGTTTTGTGTCACACTTCAGCATTACACCAAAAGACTATGCAAATTGACGTGTCAGTGGAAGTTACAGAACAAATTAACAAAATGTGGAGGGACATAATACCAAGAGCAGATATCTTCCTTCCAAAAGTCTGTGGTTTTTTTTTTTGTTTTTGTTTTGTTTTTTTTTTTTTTTCCCCAGAAGATTGCTTGTTCTTTGCTTTGCTGAACTATTAAATACAGTAACTTTAAATGAATGTTTAAAATTACGCTGCACCAAAGAAACGGAAGGTGACAAATGATATCAGTCTTAAAGAAATTTCTGAAGGACAACCAAGGAGCTGCAGACCAGTGAGCCTTACGCCTTAAGCTAGATAAACCAGTGGAAACTGCTCGAGGGGGGAGGCTTACACTTGTGGGCAAATACATTGTACAGGAGAGAGGTCAGTGTGGCATCTGCAAAAAGAAACCACGTTTCAGAAATGAGCTGTTAGTCTTTTGAATGCTTATTTGGTGGTGTTTCTTGTTTATTTCAACCATGCTCTTGAGTTGCAGTAGTTACAGTATCCCACCCTCCCAATAGATTTTTTTTTTTAACTAAATATGTACTCAAATTCAGTCTCACCAGTTTTGTTAATAGCTTAATACATGTTCTGATGTGAAAGCTGGGTTTGTTATTTCATTGTCACACAGATTTATTGTCCTGTGCAGTAAATTCATTTTCTTAATGCTTTTTCAGTGTCTGAGCAATACCCCTCCTCTGACTGACTATTTCCTGGAAGATAAATATGAAGCTGAAATAAATCAGAACAATCCACTGGGGATGAGAGGAGAAATTGCAGAAGCCTATGCAGAGCTCATTAAACAGATTTGGTCTGGGAGGCAGTCTCATGTGGCCCCACGTATGTTTAAAGTAAGTACTCCATGTTCTTGTAGCATAGCTCTTTGACAGAAGAAACGGTAAAAGCTAATATGCCTTCCGCATATTTTGGTGTTATGAAAGCAGTAATGACAGAATTGCTTCAGTGATGTTTCACATTTTATGTAAATGCTTTTCAGGGTGCAGGGAGGAACTTGCCAGCGAGTAGTGTCGTATCCCGGAGTTGGTTACTGCTTTTTAATGTTAAGTGTCTTACTTAGTAAATGACCTTCCAGCCTGAGAGCTGTTTACAGATGCATCAAAATGACCTTTGCTACAAAACTAGGCAAGGTCATGTGAATTTTCACAGCTGTGGACTTTAATCAGTGAGAAAACGTGTGCAAGTTATAAATTTAAAAAATGAAACTATAAAGTGGAGAGCAAAACGCATTCCCTTGTCTATTGGGGATATTTATTGTTATTTATTGGTTTAATGTTTCCAGTGCTTCAGTGTAAAGAGCTGCTTTCAACTGAAATACTGCAGGGTAGCAGTTGTATATGAACCCCTAGAAAAATTGTAACTATGTCTTTTGTTTTAAATATAATGCAAAGACGCCTCAGTGCAGAACAACATAATTAAAGCATCCAAGGAACATGAAGAGTTTGCTTCTGTAGTGCAACCTCAGTATGCTGAGGAAGAATAACATCCCAAATGCATGAAATAAGTAATGACCTAATATTAATGTAAATGTGCATCCTGTTGCTGTTCAAGTTTTGCATGGTACAGTCTTGAAGTTGGGGGTATATGCTTTTGAGACCTGGAGCAGAAGTCTTATGGACTACAGAAATCTGTCCTCTGTAGGGTCATAGGTAGTTCTGAAACAAGATGATGTTGTTCAGTTTCTGTCACTTGGAGTTGCTGGCACATCATCCACCACTATTAAAGTTGTTCTGTAAACCTCTGTTCAGAGGAAATATGTGAATCTGTAGTGGACGTCAATAAAAGTGACTTAATGTGGGCTGTTCTTGTTTAAGACTGGAATAGGAGTTACTCTTTATTTCCTAGTACAATATTACTTGTGATTTTTCTAACAATTGTTGCTGATTTAGTGACAGTGTTGGCTATCTCTGTAATATAAATAGCCCTTCAGTTTAGGCTCCCTTGCAGTTGTCATCTTGAGTGGTTAAAATGTACTAAGCATAATTCTGCAAGTCTGACTGGTTTTGTCTATGAGAAAACTAACAATAGTCACTGGGACTCACCACTCCTTCAGCTAATTGTTGGTTTTCCTGTGGGACCCCTTTCTATTGTTTGTTTAGAAGCAGGAACACTGAATGGCAGTGTTGCGAGACAGCACTTGCGAAATAAGAGGCTGTATTTGGGTGTTTGTTTTAGCTTCATATCACAATTTTTAGAATAGCTAGAGATTACTGTGGCGAGAATTTCAATCTTGGTTTTAAGCCAGTTTTGTTAGTTCGTAAGTATCTTCTGCAAGCATTTTCAGTCTTGCAGTCCACCTGCTTCAAGATGCTACCTTCTAGCAAGTCTGCCTTGTGGGAACTGTAGGTTTCTGAAAGGGAAATTAAAGTACAAAAGGCATCGGGCAGATAGGTTTTGTGTACTGGTTGTTTGCAGGTTCCTAAATTAATATTGATAACTTAAATTTCTAGTGTCACAGCACTAAATGCATTCTTCCCTCTTAACACTAGGGGGGAAAAATAAAAATAGTTGGGAAAATTATTGTGGCACCCTTACGGCGTTAGCATCCAGTTCACTGTGGTCTACTGCTAATATAATGTAGCATGGAGTTGATCTCTGTAAAAGCCAGAGTGAGTGTTTTTATTCCTGTCTCTTACACATAGGTAATACTCACCCCGCTCTGACTCTTGCCTTCGTGTTTCAGACGCAGGTTGGCCGATTTGCTCCTCAGTTTTCAGGATACCAGCAGCAAGATTCCCAGGAGCTCTTGGCTTTTCTTCTAGATGGCTTGCACGAGGATTTGAACAGAGTGAAGAAGAAGCCCTACTTGGAGCTGAAGGATGCCAATGGCAGACTTGATTCGGTATGGTGCCCTTTACTTGAGAGTGGGGCAGGTGGTGTTTCTGAGGGAGTTTAATTGGGTTTTGTGACACTTCCTGGCCTTCCTGCTCACAGGCCGCACAAACATCCTCCCTACAAAGCAGTGCACCTGGGAGGGGAGAACCCTGTTGTGCTTTATGGCCCGCCTGACTCTTCATGACACCTCGTGGCACATAGCTGTTGCTCTGCCTTACAGCAGAATGTCTGTTCTTGTACTGGCATGCAGGAAGATGTGCTTATGGTACAATACTGATGTGGTTCTGTAGTGGAAAGGAAGGGAGTTGATCTTGTGACATAACAGCTACCTAAAAGCAGGCTGTAGTTGCTACTGTAACTTTTGCTCCTGACTACTCAGGCCCACCTTCTTCCTCCAGGTAGATTAAGCAGCAGCTTTTAGCGTCAGTTTGAGGAGAGTGCTTACTGTGCAGGCTATTGTACTTGCATGTGGACTTGGGTGGGACTGGGAGCATTCTTGCGTGGAGGTGCCAGGGGTGCCCCTCAAATAAGGGTCTGAACACGTGCCCTGGACATGGGATTGTAAGCAGCCATTCTGATGTCCCTCTGGTAGACAGCAGAGCGTCAAATGAAATGAGCTTTTAGGTTAGACTTCTCATGTGTGTTCCCTCATGGCCTCTAGACATATGTAACCCATGAGCTAGGTTTAAACCCAGGCTGAATAGGGTGCATGAAAGCACTGGCCAAGGCAAGGAGAGAACCGAGGTTTAAGTGACTTGGTACAACCGTGGATCTTGATGAATTCCCAGTGTTTGGTGAACTACCTGCATCTCCTTAAGAGGCTTGACTTGATTTTCCTCCTTTCTGGTGCTGTGGAAATTGGTACACTGATAGTAAAGCAACTTTACATTTTATTTAATTTAAATTTGAATTTAAACACCCTTGGGCTCCAGTTACCCACTCTACCTAGAAAAAACTAATTCTCTTACGCTGTTTTCCTGACAGAGGCCAGAAAAGTCTCTTCTGCTCATTTCTCTTCCTGCCTTTTCTCTGTCCTCTGTTTCTCAGTCAATACTGATTCGTGAGCACCTTGCAAACACTTTGTTCCTCTGAAGCTGGCAAACACCATGCTCACATTAAAATGAGAGAGATA